GGCGGCGCTGAGCACGTGCACCCGCGCTCTCCGCGTCCCCTTGGCCGGGGCCCTGGTCCCCTTCCCAGCGCGGCTGCCAGGGCACCGGCGCTGAACCGGACCCCAGGACGGCCTGGGGGTCGCGTGCCTGAGCTGCCCAGGGTCCTGGCCCTGCCCATGTCGGACAGGGGCCTGAGGGCTGACCGCCGGACGTCCCACGGCCTTTGGCGCGTTTGGGGGACGCGAGGCGCGGTCTGGCGCCGTGCGCCTTCGCCCCTGCCCGCGCCGCCAGGTGAGATCGCCTATCGCCCTGCGCCCAACACTTTGTCACGGAAGAACCGTTTTCTGTTACGGGCTGTTTGCCTGACTTTCGGAAGCCTTCGCCTCCTTAAGTTCTGTCTTCTGGGCCAGGCCACGGGCCGGCCATTCCTTCCTGCCCCGTGAGGTCCCGGAGGGCCTTCTGCCGCCCCAGGGTGAGAGCCCAGTCCCCACTCGGGCGATGCAGGGTCACTGCCGCCTCTCCCTCCGGGCACATCGTCAGCACCCTGGGCTCTGCCACGGTGTGGGAGCTACATTTGCGCCCCCTCTTTGAAATTCATTGTGGCTCCTCCACCTGCTTGCCCCACGAAATGTGAGCAGAGGTGAACTATGTCATTTCTGGGCCATACATCACTAGGGGACCACCTGCCCAGCAGCCCGGGACATGGAAGGCGAGGGAGAGATCACCCTGATGAGCCACTGAGATGTGGGGTTAGTTTTACTGCAGCCCCAGGTAGGACGGCCCCACCCACCACCTGCTGCAGGTCCCCAGCCTGGCTGACACGCTGGCATGGGTCTCCGGTTAAATTTCAGGAGCACGGAGACAAGCTCCCAGCCCCGGGACTGGGCTCAGCCTTCTGAGCCCCCGCAGCGCTCTGTCCTGGGCCCCCTCTGAGAACTGCCACGTCCGGGGAGGCACATGGAAGGCACTCAGCTCACGCCTGCAGGGAGGAGCCACTGTAGGGTGCCACCAGCCCACACCTCCCTCGGCCTCTGGGGCTGGTCACTTCTGCTAGCCAGACCTCAGAGAGCCAGGACCTCAGAGTCCCCATCCAGTTGCTGTGACACAGAGTAGCCCAGAGCCATCTCCTGGGGTTACTGTCCTCTCAGAAGCACCGAGTGCTGGTGCTAAGTTAAAATTAAACCTTGGGATCTGCCCAGTGGCTGGTCAAGGACAAGGGCCACGTGGGCAGGAGAGATGGGGGGGTCCTTCCCCCCTTACTTCTGAGGCAATCCTATCCCAATTCTCCTGCAGTCTTCAGAAAGAAGGGCCAATCCAGCTCTGCTTCTAGCTTCCTGCAGTTGTCCCAATTCTCTTTTTAACACAGACTTCCGTCTTCCCGTCTCCCCGCTTCATCTGTGAGGCGACGAAGCTGAGGCCACTCTGCAACACATTTGCGTCCACAGCCTCCCCTGCAGAGGTGGCACTGTTGTGCTTCCAAGGTCAGGGGTGTGGGTCTCTGCAGGAACCAGTCAGGCCTGTGCCTCAGATGGACTCGCACCCCCAACCTGGGCAGCTGACACCAGTGGAAAGGTGCTGAGCTCGGAGCGGAGAGGTTGGGTGAGTGGGCCTGGCAGGATGGAGACAAGGGGACATCATGCAGCCTGTCTGACAAGTGTGGAGGCCTCTGCACTCCAGGGAGGCCGGGCCCAGGCCAGGGGCCAGCGGACATTGTGGTTGGTGCAGTTTTCATCAGATTGTGAACCTGCTGGTTCTCCACAAGGATCCCCACGGAGAACTCACTTCTCTGCTTTAGAGTCTTGCTGTAGGGGAAGGATCCCCACCTTCTTTTTTATAAATTTTTTTTATGTTATATCTCTATTGATTTCAGAGAGAGGGCAGCAGAGGGAGAGAGAGATAGAAACACCAACGATGAGTCACTGGGGATGGAGCCCGCAACCCGGGCATGTGCCCTGATCGGGAACAGAACCTCGATCTCCTGGATCCTAGGTCGATGTTCAACCTCTGAGCCATGCCTGCCCGGGCAGGATCCCCACCTTCTTGTGCTCCCCTTAGGTGTCTGTGGAGACTCGGGGCCACCCTGGGGACCCTCCACAGATCCAGAGGCTGTTTTGGGCTGCTGTGACCTCCCTGCTCCTCTGTCTCCCCTGTAAGATCGGGGCGATGACCCCACCTCCTGGCATAATCGAGATGAGCCCTGGCCGTTGGCCGGCCTGTCTGGCACTGTGCCCTGCATCTCATGGTGTTACTCAGAGCTCACGGCCATGCACCAACAGCCTTTTCATGACGCCCCACATCACAGAGTGAAGCAGGCCTGTGAGGCAAGTCACCGCTGAGCTCACTGCCATAAGCTTGGGAATGACACTGTTCACGTCCCGTAAACAACTCACCCAGGCCCAGGCATGGCAGGAGCAGGTGTTAGGAGCCCCCCCCACCCCAGTAGATGGGCGACACATGCCTGGTGCCGCCCCCTCACTGGACTAACTCTTCCTTTGCTTTGTAACAATTGGTGGCACGTAAACGTCCTGAGTGTGCAAATGTGACACCTATAAGCAGCTACCCACCTCACCAGCACCCACCCTCAGGGAGACCAGGTCAGATGTCTGGCCTCCCCAACTGTGAGGTGATAAATGTGATCGTTGTAAGCGATTTGTTACAACAGCAATTGGAAACAGATACACTAGTGTTAAGATACATTGTTTTTACCCTGTTACTTGCGAACTTCAAGATGATGAAAATTAGACGGATGCCCTGAAAATAATGATCTTACAGGCCAATCTGTTCAAGCAAGCGTTTGTGTTCTGAAAGCTTTTAGTTTGATGCTGAACATGAAAGCATTTAATATATTTGACTTTCCTGTTGTGTATTAGATATTTTCTGTCTTTGTAGTTGAGGTTTCTTAAAAAGCTGCTTCATCTGTCACTGCTGCTTTCTCCTCAATGAGAGAATGTGCTCTGCTTACCAGAAATTATTGAAACGTGACTGTGGCCTGTGATTTGGGGAACACGCCTTTCCCACAGGTCTCCTAACTGAGCCACAGGAGGCATTTTGAGTGAGGTTGGGGGGTGAGGGGCAGAAGTGAGGCAGCAGCCCTAATATTTTTAAACCTGGAAGGGCAGGGCAGGGGCCCAGGTGTGGCTGGGGCTCACTGTCCTCACTGGCGGGAGGAAGGAGGGCAGCTTTCCGCCTCTCCAACCCCTGAGAGAGGCCTGCGTGGCTCAGTGAGGACTGGTGCCACTTCTGCAGGACACCCACTTGGCCGATGCGCCCTGGGGTTCCGGCTGGAGCTCAGGGCGTCCAGCCTGCAGCAGGTCACCCGTCCCCAGTTTACCTCCAACTTCCCCTGCCTACCACGCCCTGCACCCACGCGGGGAGAGCTGCAGGCGAGGTGCCTGTGCCCGCTGCCGCTGGGCCCGCACCCTGTGACCCTGGAGGACCCAGTTCTGCCACTGAGGCACCAAGTTAAACACGGGCGGGCTTTCAAGTTCTAGCCACCGGGGCAGCCGGCCTGAAAAGCGACCTTTCCCGAGCGTTTGGGCGGCTGTCCTCAGGGGCCCCATGTCCTCAGGCCCAGCTCGCTCGCGCCACCCCGCGGACATCCCCTCGTGCGCCGTGACTCCCCGGGCTCGGCACACTCGTCCCCCGCGTCAGAACGCCCAGCAACCGCTCTCTCGGGGTCGCCCACAGCCTGGCCGAGGCCGTCGCTGGC